GGGGGATCTGGGGACACCGGGGGGATCCCGGGAGAGGGGACGGACCTGGAGGGTCCTGGAGGCACCTGGGGGGAGGACCTCGCACCGGGAGCCCTGGGGAACGGAGGCAAACCGGGTCTTCAGGGGTGGGCCACACACTGGGAGCCCCGGGGGGGCAGAGGGGACGGTGACACACGGCTCGGGAAGGACACCCAGAGCCCTGTGGATCCGCAGGGCGAGGGGCAGGGGGGACCCAGAGACCAAGGGATCCCTTTCCCCCCCCGCCCCGGGAATGCCCTGCCTGATACCATCACCTCCCACCTTCTCCCAAGGGACCTGCATCTCCATCCCACCCCTCCCAGCCTCGCTGGGCCTTTCCCCAGTTTCTGCCTGGCCAAGGCTCTGGGTTGCTCCCACCGAGGCTGAGGGAATGAGGAGCAGAGACCTCGGGCCAAGTCCCCCCTGCGTTATCGGTGGAGATGTGGTGTTGCACAAGCTCTGGCTCGCACACAAAGCGCTGCGCGGAGCGGTGGCCCCGGACACGCAGATGGTGGCTGACCCTGGGCAAGGCCACCCTGTTCTGCCATCGCTCCTATCCCTTTTTAATCTCTTCTTTCCGCGTTGCCTTCCCCCAGCGTCAGCTCCAGCCCAAGGTCTTGGTCGGGTCATGGCCACCCCGGGTGGCCTTGGCTCAGCAGAGCTGCCAGACTGGCCTCCAGCTTCATGTCCTGATGGCAGAGGCCACCTCTGGGCAGGGATGGAGGACACGCTGGGTTTGGTCCTCACCATGAACCAGCACAGGTTTCACCTCCCTTTCTCCAGGAGGCATCTCCCAGACGTTGCTGGGGCAAGCTGGTTGGGAAGAGCCTTCCATCCTGGGGAAACATCTGGGGACAATGGGAGTCGGGGTGCTGCTCCCCACACGGTGCCCTTACTCTGAGCCCAGGGCAGCCTCTGGTTTCTGGCTTGGACACAGACATCGGTCCAGGCAAAAAAAAAAAGCCACCAGCTCTGCCACTTCCATGGCTGGCAGCTGGAAAAGGGGGTTCTACCCCAGCAAGGCACAAGAGCCACCAGGTTTGTGTGACACAGGAGGAGACCGAGCCACCAGGAACCTTCCCAAGGAGCCCCGAGCAGCTCGGGGACAATCAGGACCCCAAGCCATGGGGGTGTCCCCAGCTCTGCCTCCACACGGGGGTTTGGGCACAGCAAGATCTGGACCCAGCTGCTTCCAAGCTGGCAGGGCTGGGCACCCCAAGCTCCAGGATTTGGCAGGGTCCCTCCCAAAATTCAAGCCAAAGGGGACCATTTCCAGCCCTGCAGCAGGACGGGTCACTGAGCCATGCAGCATTTCTGCATGGAAGAATCATAGAATCGTCTAGGTTGGAAGGGACCTTAAAGATCATCTAGTCCAACCATCAACCTAACTCTGACAAAAAAATAAATAAGAAATAAAAATCACTAAACCATATTCCTGAAGACCATGTCAACCCATCTTTTGAACATCTCCAGGGATTTTAAAATCCTTAGTAGGAAAACCTGTTTTCCTACTAAGAAGCAGAAACGCATCCCATGGAGTCATCACCCCATCTCTGGAGCCACACAGGACCTGCCAGGTCGCTCTTGTCCCTCACCAGAGGGATGTTATTTATCTCCAGCATCTACCAGGAGACCTCCAGGTCTGCTCCCGGGACTGTCCTCCCATCCATGGGGACAGAGGGACCCAAAGCCACCTCCTCACCCAGGCTCAGGAGGTGCTCCTTCCTCTCCCCCACCAAGGAGCCTTGTGAGGAGTGGTTCCCATACAGAGACCCATAGTTATCTAATCACTGCGCTCTTATCTAATTAAAATTAGTGATTAGCCCCCAGTAGTGCTTCATATGGGCAGGTGACAGAACTGCTGGTGATGAGCTGGGATGGGGAAGCAGTGGCTGCGGCTCCTGCACCAGCGTCTGTCTGTAGCCCAAAGCCAAGGAGGAGCTTGGGAAGCCACAGGCTAAACAGAGGCAGTTCCACATGAAAAGAGGGGAAAGTAACAAAAAAAAAGAAAAGAAAAAAAAAAAGGATAAACCAAGCAAAGCAGCCTTTGGGTCCCACAGCAGCACGGGGAGGAGATATACGTGGAGCTATAGATTTTTTTTTTTTTTTTTTTAATTCTCTGGAAGTTGGCAGTTGAGCAAATCCCTTCTGTGCCAGAGCTGGCAGAAAGGTAAGGATTGCAACACGCTGCCAGACCATCCCTGCCTCCACCCGCTCTGTGTCATCTCCTCCAAGGGTGGGGTTGATCCTTCCACCAAGCAGCAGTGCCTGGCACTGCCCTGCCGTAACACAGGAGAAGGTGAGGCGCTCCCAGCCCGCGGGGCACCCCCCCAACCCCCCTCCCCAGCTTGTATTTACATGTTTTTAAGGGCCATTCCACCGCGTTTTTGCTCTTCCTCTTGGCCTGCCTACGTTCGGGTGGGAGGACAAAGGGATGGAGCAAGCTGTGGCTCCATCGTTGGCATGCGGTTCACCACGCGTTGAAGCTCCTCTCCTGGGTCAGTTGGCTGGAAGGGGCTGGTGACACAAGCCAGGATGGTTTGGTGGCACGTCCAGATGAGAGGGACCAGCCTCGGGGTTGCTCTCAGCGCTGGGCAGTGTCACAGGACTGCAGCTGACAGCCCTCTAGCAAAAAAGGTGACATTCTTATCCTGGATCTTATACTGGTAGATTTGGACGTGATCCTGCTCTGCCGTCAGCTCCAAGGACACCCTCTTAATTATCTTGATCTGCAAAGGGAAAGGAAAAGGAATATCATCCCTTCGGCTGCCCCAGTCACAGCATCCTCACCCCCCAACCTCTTGCTGGCCTGCAGGGAAAGGGGGTCACTGATAAAAAAAGCCATCAGATGGTGGCCTGTAACCAGCCCCTTTGGTGGCAGCCCCTGATGACAGACCAGGCAGCAACACAACTGCCCTCCCAGCCCTGAGGAGATCACCACAATCCAGGCTGGGATCCACCAGCAGGAAAGTTTGGAGCGGCTTCCCAGGATCTTGCAGCAATAGGATGAGGGAGGAGGGTTTTAAACTGAAAGAGGGTGGATTTAGATGAGATGTGGGGAAGAACTTCCTTGCTGGGAGGGTGGGGAGGGCCTGGCCCAGGTTGGGCAGAGAAGCTGTGGCTGCCCCATCCCTGGAGGGGTTCAAGGGCAGGTTGGAGGGGGCTTGGAGCAACGTGGTCTGGTGGGAGATGTCCCTGCCCAGGGCAGGAGATGGACTCGATCGTCTTTAATGTCCCTTCCAACCCAAATCATTCTGTGATTCTAACTTGATATCCCTCTGCCCTCACCCTGGGGCAGGAGTCAGCCAGCACCACAGCTGCTGTACAAACCCCTTCCAGCTTCCAGGGGTGGGGGAGTCCCCAGGTGGCAGGATGTCCCTGACCATCCCCGCAGTCACAGCTGGGTGCTCCAGCAGATCCTGGTGACTGCAGCAAGGCTGCTTGTTAGCCCTTAGCCATGCTGCAGACCAGGCTGGTCCTGGGCCAGCTCCCCCGGGGCAAATGTCACACATCTCACCTACCCTTGGGCCCAACTTGATTGTCTTTAATGTCCCTTAGCCCTTAGCCATGCTGCAGACCAGGTTGGTCCTGGGCCAGGTCCTGTGGGGCAGATGTCACACATCTCACCTACCCTTGGGCCCACAGGCAGTGTTGGATGTGACATTAACGTGTGTCACCTCCCCGTGCTCTCACCTCCCCATGAACGTCCTTGCAGAAGCCGGTCGCCAGCCCCTCTACCCACAGGATCAGGTCACTGTGATGACACAGGGAGTTGACAACCAGGTCGTTTTCCTCATCTTCTGAATCCTCGTTGCTGTGAACCAGCACCACGATGTTCCCCTGGAAGGAGAGGGCCAGGGAGCGGTGAACCCCTGGCTGGTTCCTAATCAGCTCAGGGTAAGGAAAGGGAGATACCAACGGGAGCTTCCACAAATGCTAAGACATCCCCCACCACGGCAACTGGTTCTGAGCTAAAGCCTTGGGCCCACAGGCAGTGTTGTATGTGACATTAACGTGTGTCACCTCCCCGTGCTCTCACCTCCCCGTGAACGTCCTTGCAGAAGCCGGTCGCCAGCCCCTCTACCCACAGGATCAGGTCACTGTGATGACACAGGGAGTTGACAACCAGGTCGTTTTCCTCGTCTTCTGAATCCTCGTTGCTGTGAACCAGCACCACGATGTTCCCCTGGAAGGAGAGGGCCAGGGAGCGGTGAACCCCTGGCTGGTTCCTAATCAGCTCAGGGTAAGGAAAGGGAGATACCAACGGGAGCTTCCACAAATGCTAAGACATCCCCCACCACGGCAACTGGTTCTGAGCTAAAGTCCACCAGGAAAATAAACAGCAGATACAAATAGAAAATCCTGAAACACACAAATGGCAACTCTCTGAATTCAGAACAGCGGAATAAAGACGTGGCCAAACGGCTGCAGCCGCAGCTGCGATGCTCAAACCTTCACAGCTCCCACAAGGAGCAAAGAGCTTCCCCAAAACAACACCAGCTCTTATTAAAAATACAACCTGAGAGTCTCTGCCTCAGCCCCTGCAGGTCACCAAGGACTTAAAACAACATGAAATTCCCAATCAATTAAAATGTACTTTTAAAGCTTCAGAACATCCTATACAGAAATAGAAATGCATTAGCACGATTTATCATCTTTTTTTGTTTGTTTGTTTTTCTGGCTGCTTTGGAGGGAAATACCACCACGGCAACTGGTTCTGAGCTAAAGTCCACCAGGAAAATAAACAGCAAACACAAATAGAAAACCCTGAAACACACAAATGGCAACTCTCTGAATTCAGAACAGCGGAATAAAGACGTGGCCAAATGGCTGCAGCCGCAGCTGCGATGCTCAAACCTTCGCAGCTCCTGCAAGGAGCAAAGAGCTTCCCCAAAACAACACCAGCTCTTATTAAAAATACATCCCGAGAGTCTCTGCCTCAGCCCCTGCAGGTCACCAAGGACTTAAAACAACATGAAATTCCCAATCAATTAAAATGTACTTTTAAAGCTTCAGAACATCCTATCCAGAAATAGAAATGCGTTAGCATGATTTATCATCTTTTTTGTTTTGTTTTGTTTTTCTGGCTGCTTTGGAGGGAAATATTCTCAGCAAACCCCCTGGCACCACACGAAGTGCAGGGTAACAAACCTGACACCGTCTACTTTTATTTCTCACTCAAGCAGGGAGGGAAGTGGCCGGGGTGGGGGGGACGCGGCGACGTAAATAGCACAGGATGGAGGTGACTGTAAGGTTCTCTTGCTGCGACGCTCGCAGGAGTTAGCACATCCCTGGGGAGATCTTTGTGGAAGGGCTGCCTTATCACACGCCCTTAGAAACCAGCCAGCACAATGCAGAGCCAAAAACTGGTGGGAGCAGAGACTCTCGTCCCCTCCAAGTGGACCTTCATCTCTGTCCCCCGTGAGACTAATCAGCCCTTCACCATCTTCCTAACCCGGTTCCTTCCCTGCCCTCACACACACACACACACCAACACAGGTGTGAGTGGAGATCTCTGAAGAGCCAGGAGCTCCAAGAAACAGTATTTTACACTTCAGAGCTCTGCTCACACATCGGGGACAGAAAGAGCCCTTCTCCTGGAAAACCAGTTGCAAATGACCCTACACAGCTTCTCCAGGGACTAACACAACTCCCAAGAGTGACCGGAGATCAATGATTTGAATTTCTTGGGCAGCCAAAACCCTCCAAAACCTCATCATGGAAAAAGAAAAGAAAGGCAGGCTTTGCTCCAGAGGCTCTTTTGAGCAAGAGGCTGCACGTGGAGGCAGTGGTACCTTCAGCTGGGAGCACACGGTGACTCTGCAGTAGTGGATGAAGTCGAGCACAGCCACCGGCGCGGCGCCCAGGCTGAGCAGGACGCTGAGGTCGTCCACCAGCAGCACAGGACCCTTCCAGGAGTCGCTGTCGGTGGGAGTCAGGGAGGTCTGGACGAAGTCAAACAAGGCTTTGAGGTTGGAAGCGCTCTCGCTGGAAGAGAAGAAGGAGGTCTCAAGGGGCTTGGCCCACACACGCGTTGTGTATCCCCCTCCTCACCCACTGACCATCCAGCCTGTGCCATCCCTGCTGTCCCCACAGCAGTGACAGTCACCAGGTCCTGCACTTCCCTACAGTCACTGCTCCTTTACTCGCCTGTGTGGGGTGAAACCCTCCTGCCCTGGGTGTTTGGGTGGAAAAGGACCTTTAGTCCAAGCCCCTGCAATAAGCAGGGACATCTTCAACCTGGTCAGGTTGCCCAAAGCCCCGTCCAACCTGGCCTTGAACACCTCCAGGGATGAGGCATCTCCCACCTCTTTGGGCAACCTGGGCCAGTGTCTCTCCACCTTCAGCGTAAAAAAGGGATGTGGAGAAAGTGAAGTGGGAACAAAAACAAAAGCCAGCACCGTTCTCTTGGATAAGATAATAAAAAGGAACAAAATTTCTCAGATGGAGTTTTACTTACCACAAACACGCTGAGTGCTGAAATAAATTTTCTCTAGACCTGTAACATGTTTGGCAATGAGGATTGGAGCGGAAATTGCCCCAAAATGCTGGAGAAGGGGGACAGAATGTGAGCAGCAGGGAGGGACAGGGCAGGACAAGCAGAACAACGTGCACAGCACTGGCATCTCCCTTCACTTAGTGTCCAGCCAGCGAGTCCTGGGGCTCCAGAGGGAAGCCCAAAGGGGGCCAGGTCTCAGCCATGACCTTGGTGCTGCTCTCAGTGCTGGCTGCAGTGACAGGGGACACAATGGGGGACCCTGCTGAGCCGGGGTCACCCTGCTGAGCCCCAGCAGAACCACCAACCGCTCAGGTTTACCTTAGGAACTGGAGAGGACTGGGTTGTCCCAACTCCGACGACTCCTCTCCAAACAAGAGGTCAAGGCAGGACTTGAGGCCTTCCAAGAAGACAAGCTGTCCCCGCTCTCTGGCAGCCGTCAGACTGACTCCCTGGGGAGAGGAAAACGGGATGTTGCGGAGCGAACAGCGTTGGAGGAAGGGTGCAAAACAGAACCAAGCGGATCGACAGCCAATTTTTATCAGGTTTTATCCAAACGTGCTAAAAAAAACAAAAAACAGTCAGTGCTTCGGTGACTTCTGCAGAGGGGATGGAAGAGGCGTTTGTGTTACACACACGGGTGGACACGTTTGCTTCCTGGTATTTTGCCAAGAGGAAAAAAAAAAATAAATCACTGATATGGGGGGGCTCAAACACCCTGGAATTGCTTTTGGGAAGACAACAGCGTCGTTGCACGGAAGAAAACCAGCTTTTTATGCAGAGAAAGGGAGAGGGTGGGCACAGACTTCCCCACGCTGCCCCACGGACCCTGCTGTGAGCAATTTCTTCGCCCTCCCTTCTCAGGTGGTAAAAGCCTCTTTTGTTTTCGTTATCTATCTCCAAATCACCACTGTGGCAATGATTCCCCTGGCACAACCCACGCACCTGAGCCAGGCACGGCACCCCGACGCTTGCACAACGCCTGGGAAGGAGCAGCTTGGCCGGGGGCTCCCACGGGAAGCAACCTCAGCCCCAACTCCCCTTCGGAGGAGGAGGAGGAGAGATCCCAACTCCCCTTCGGAGGAGGAGGAGGAAGGATCGATGATGACAAACTGCCCAGGGGCATGACTCAAATTTCTCAAATTTAATCAGTGATTTCCTGCTCTCAGCCCTGCTCCCCGTGGCTCTTCCACCACCAAGAGCCACGTGCTGGGCACATCCAGCCCCAAGGGAGAAAGCTCTGGAAGAATTCCAGCAGACGTGCAGCAAACTCCAACTGGAAGTCTAGTTCCCAAACTCCTTTCTCATCCTTCTTTCTTCTTCCAGCAGCAAGGGCTACTTTTGCCAGCCCTTCTACAGCTCCTCAGCTCACTGCTAACAGCATCAGTCCACCTTTCGGGAGAAAATTCAGTACCTGTTACTGACATGACCATACAAAGGTTTATCTCACCATCTTCAAAACTTGGCCAAACTGCGTTTTCCCAGCAGGAAGAAGCACAAGTATTTTTTTTGGCTTCCCAGTGGGGTTTGCTTCCTACATTTCCCAATGGGCCTGCTTTTTCTTCGAATGGAACCAGGGATCGGCAGCATCTCGGCAGCCTGGAAATAGGGCTGTTGTGCAAGGCAGAGGGTGGGTGGAGAAGATGGTGAGATAGATGGTTTACAAGGAGTTCAGGAAGGTTTAGCTCAACGCAGCATTGCTTTGACAGGCCAGAAACAAGACCAGGAACCAGAAATGAGGTTCTTGAGAAAGGAATTCCCATATTCCCCAAGGGAAGACATCCCTTCGGGACGCTGGGAGATTTTAAACCCTCTGAAGAGGGTGGCTGAGCAAGACTGGTCAAAAACAGAGGCAGGTCCTAGAAGAGGAGCAGGAGCCCTTACTTCAAGCCAGGACCAGCTTCTGCCTGAACGCTGGAAGAGACCCACACCAGCAGCGCTGCTGCTTTTGACCAGGCAGGTTTTAAGCATCGCAGAAAATACAGATTTTTGCTTATTTCCTAAGCAATCGTGCTGGGAGCTGCAGGACACTCGAGCACAGAGTTTTGAGCTGCCCAGCAAGGGGAAGGCTCGTAGCAGCTCTATCCCCAGGACCTGGAGCGTTGTGCCTGGCACCATCCCAACACCTTCTTTTGAAAAGACCACGTGTTGGGTTTTCCAAGTGTTTCCTGGTCCTCACAACACCCCGAGAGCTCACAGGGGAGAGGGAGATGCAGCAAAGTGATGCCTCCACTTCTGCCTCCTGCTTTCCACCGTTTTCCTTTCACTTGGCTCAACCTTCCTGTAATTCTAACACGGAAATATAAGCGCCAACATATTAACCCCCCCCCTTTTTTTTTTTTTTTAATTGAAAAAAATATTGTAAAGCCACGTTTTAAGCATCTGATCTATAAGACGATCCCTACAAGGAGCTGAGCCCAGCTGCTTTGTGGCATTTCCACCTGAGGACCTCCAGAGAGAAGGGCTGGGTAGATAAGGAAGAGCTCCTTTCCAGGAACATTAACCCTGAGCTCCTGCAAGGCTTATCAGTTGCCACACGTTGGGTGCTAATGAGAGGAAAGAGAGATTTCCACTGCTTTCCCTCCCAGCTGAGAAGTGAGGGGGAGAGCTCCATTCATCAAGGCTGCTGCCAGAAAACGCCGTCCGTGGCAATTAGAAAACAACGGATCGGAGGCAACATCTTCCATCACGGCCGGGGGACACTCCAAGGCACAGACCATCTGACATCTCCCCACCTCAGATCCAGCTTTTACATCAGCCCTGAGCTTGCCCTTCTTTTTCCTGGTCTCTCACACATGCTTTGGGAGGAAATTAGTCCCACCTGCAACAAAAACTCCGCAAACTCCGGGCAAGGCACCAGCCAGCGCTTCTAGACATATCCCTTTTGTTTCCAAACACCTTCTCAATGAACAGCATTAACCACCAAGTGTTGCAGCACACCCTTGCCTCATCTAATCCACATTGTCTCCTCCTTTTTCCCCTTCTCCCAGGCACGCCAGGAGTGGCAATTCCCATGAATGAGACTCTTACACAGCACGGGGCCCTTCTCTCTCCCTGCCATGCCTCCTGCCCAGCAAAGATGGGGGGAATTGGCTTTTCCAGGTGATATTTCCTCCCTAAAACCATGCCAGAAAGCAGGAACGGAGAGCTAAGGGAAGCCTCTTGGGCAATTGCAAGCACACACCACGGAAAAATTTGTAGCCAAGGACAGAAGAACCTTTATGTGGCAAGCCAGGAGCGGGGAACAGCTGGCAAATACCTGACGTGCCATAAAGCAGGGCTGGGCTGCACGGCCATCTCACAACCCTCATCCTCTCCTGCATTTTTGGAGCCCACAGGACTCAGCACTTGCTGGAATGCTTTGCTACAGCAGTAGCTAAATTCACTATTCACGTCAATAATTCAGAAACTGATTTTAACTTTGCTTCGAGAAAAGTGTCCCCTCTTTAAAATACCCAGAAGCTTCGCGCTGTGACACCTGGAGGTGCCTGGAGGACAGAGAGAAGGGCCACAGCATGAAGGGAAGGCAGCAGGGGCAGCATGCTCATGGAATTCAATCCCCTCCATGCCATGACGTTCCTGGGTGGACCCAGCAAGTCCAGACTCATTTTCCAACTGGGGAACCAGGTCCCAGAGAGACAGCACTGGATGGAGACCTGGACTCACCCCACTGCAGTCATTTGCCACAGCAAACCTCCACTTGGCTCCCAGCAAGTAGCATGTCTGATATGACCTCTGGAAGCAGCACAGGAAGCATCACAGGAAGCATCAGGAGAGCTCAGAAATGGTGGAAAAAGCACTCAAAATGGCCAAGGGCACCTGCCTGACTGCCACAGACACCACACGGGTCCCTGCTGCAGAGAAACAGTGCTGCAGAGCACCCGGACAGCGCGTTCCCAGCCCTGAAAGCTTTCATTATCTCACAGCACCACGCTCCATCATCGCCGGGAGCACACAGACATTATCTCTGGCAATCTCTCATCTATCGATCAAGCCCAAAAATGCTTCTGAAACAGCAGCTCCGGGGGGTGACCGGGGGCTTGGGAGCTCCGCAACAGAGCACGATTGTTCTCGTCCATCCGGGGAGCTGCCAGCCCAGCATCCTGCCAGCAGTGACATCCCTTCAAACCAGAACCAACACCGGCCATTTCAGAAGGGAAAGCAAAATATTTGTGGTAGAGAATTAGGAAGGGAGCACGCGAGGCAGCAGGCAGCAGCTCAAACAGCAAAGGCAGCCGCGGTACAAAGTGCGACGATCTGTCACCAGGCCAAGGTCTCTCCTCCGGTACAACCACCTGCAGGGGAAAACAGAGGTGACCAGGAGATGTCCTCTGCTCCGTGATGGCAGCGCCGTGGCAGGAGAGCAGGTGAGAGGGAGACCAAACGAGGACAAAAATGTTTTTCCTTTAAAAGGAAACAAACACTGTACAAACGAGGGTGGAAACACCAACCTGGCAAGCTGCCCTGGTGCCATTACTCTTGCTACAGCCCAGCATGTTCTCTCCAACTTCACGACAGATAACATTAACTGTCCCTTAAACTTAAGTGCAGATCCTCATGAAAAGAGCAAGATTTTGCAGAAAAGTGTGAAGCCGGTACTGCAGAGCCAGCACAGGCACAAAAAATCCAGGGAAGCTTTTTCCTGCAAGTAAAAATATATCACTGCATTTAGTTAACACATCAGGAACTGGTTCTGGACGGGTAAGACCTGACAACACCATGGGGAAGCAGCATGTAAGGTAAGTATTACTTCAAATATGTATAAATATTCAGTATATCACCAAACATCAAGTGCTACAAGGATTAGATCCACAGAACATCGCTATAAATATATAACACGACCCTGGCTCCAGGCCTGGGACCACCCAAAGCAAAGACAAGATCTTACAGAAACTCGGACAGATATAAATAACTGAATGTTACGACCTCCAGCTCCTCAGAGAAATTCAGAGCAACCGACCACACCAGCTACCTGTGAAGTTCTAATGTAAGAGTGACTCAGACTTGAAACCAACAGGGACAGCTCATTGCTGCAGGAGAATGTAATCGTGGGGCAAACACTATTGTTCTTCTTATCACCTCCCTCCATGTCAGTCACCTTTTTGTTGGAGCATCAGACAGCAGATCAGTTGGATTTGCATTGCACGCGTGCTCCAGCTAATCCTCACCTTCTCTCTCCCTTCCCAGGCTCTCTCCCACGAGGGAGATGACAACAGCACCTATTAAAAGCACACGCAGCAGGAAATCTCACCACGTTAGGAAACACACCGACAAACGAGATTCTGCTTTTAGGGCCAGCGAGGATCCCACATGTAACAGCTGAATCTCTTACCCGCCCCGGTTGCTACACCCCATTTTTTGTCCCACTTTGCAAGTTCCCCCCAAGATCTCCTCCTCGCTGCAACACCAAGGGCAAAACTGCTCAGAACTATTCCCTCTCAGCAGGGAATATCACGCCTTGAATACTGAGTTAAAGCTGTGAGTTAAAGCTCCGCGTGGAAATGCTCCATCTTGCTCAGTCCATTTTATTTAACTTTGATGGTCTGAGCTCTCAGACCATCAATCTCCTTTTAAAATGTAAAAACTGAGTAGTAAATAAAATGCAGTTGTTTAGCCAGCACCAAAACTCAACCTGCACTTACAGCAGGGAATGCACCGTTATTGCAACACGAGGTTCTTCAACACCTGAAAGTCTTTAGAAGCAGCAGCAGCACCGCTGGGATTTCCAGCAGAACCAGAGGAGGGAGGACCAATGCAAGCCCTCACCTCTTTGGCCTTGGAAGGTTACCTGGAATTCCCAACCGGAGCTTTTCACATCTGAGCATTGTACAAAAAAGCTGAGAGATGCGGTTTAAAGCCAGAGCTTTGCTGATGTGCTGACACTGGGAATGCCCGAGCCTACTTTGCTTCTCCGTTTCCTCCTTTCAGGGGACACATAATCCTTTCCTGACTCACCAGGGAAAGGAAATCATAAAAAATGTACTTGGTGAATCCTCAGACGGATCAAACTGATGGCTTGGCATAGAGGCATAAAGGTGTCCTTCCGAATCTACAGGTGATTCAGCTGCTTCATCACCACATAACCACAGGACAGAGGACTAAGTCACCTCAGGAGCTCCTGTTCTGCACAGCCAGCGCGTCCTGCAGCACAGAGAGGCCCTAGGGACACAGGCACCACGGCATTTTTCTCCCTGGAGCACTAATGAGGCTACACCTACCAATCTGGGCCTCTTTGGGGAATGCTGATCTCCAGAAAACATTTCTAAGCACAAGGCAAGCAAGCAGCTGTTCAGCTCTCTGCCCTCTGGGGCAGAGCCTGGTGCGGCCCTTGGAGTGAACCTCACAGCCAGGATTTTGCCTGATATCACATCCCTTCTCCAGCAAGAACCACAGAATGGTTTGGGTGGGAAGGAACCTTAAAGCCCCCCCAGTGCCACCCCCTGCCCTGGGCAGGGACACCTCCCACCACACCACGTTGCTCCAAGCCCCCTCCAACCTGCCCTTGAACCCCTCCAGGGATGGGGCAGCCACAGCTTCTCTGGCCAACCTGGGCCAGGCTCTCACCACCCTCCCACCAAACAAGTTCTTCCCCACAGCTCAGCTCCATCTCCCCTCTTTCAGGGTCAAACCCTTCCCCCTCCTCCTAGGGCTCCCCTCCCTGATCCAGAGTCCCTCCCCAGCTTTCCTGGAGCCCCTTGAGGGACTGGAAGGGGCTCCAAGGTCTCCCCGGAGCCTTCTCTTCTCCAGGCTGAACCCCCCCAACTCGCAGCCCGTCCTCCCAGCAGAGGGGCTCCAGCCCTCCCAGCATCTCCATGGCCTCCTCTGGCCCCACTCCAAGTGCTCTCCATCCCCTGCCACAGGAGCACTAATCCTCACTGTCCCCATCGAGATCTGGAAATGTTTGTTCCCGTGTGATTCCCATTCCCCATTTTCATTCCTTTCCACCCAAGAGGAACTACCCCCACCTGTAACTTATAACCTCCACCAAGAGACTTACCAGCTTCTGTGCTACGATGTTATAGTGACTGAAGGACTGGAGCAGGGCCACGAAGCAAACCTTACAGCCAGCTGGGGGAGAAGACAAAAAAGACACGTTACCATTTCAATTTTACAAGCTGCCATTATCAAAGCACATAAATCTCAGCAGCCGGGCTACAAATCTGCCTGGAAAGACCTTGAAGAGAGACAGTTCTGGGCAGCCCCTCGTCTGCTCGTAGCTGGGCATTCAATTTTCAGCTCTCTATAGGATTTCCACATCAGGAAATAGGTTAGTTTAAGAAGAAGGGGAAAAAAACAAACAAAAAAAATGACATAAAAAAAAGCAGGAGGCCCCTTTTTTGTCTCATGCCACCCTGCCCTGGGATCTCCTGGCACTGTTTGCTGGTGTTACTGTAAGGAGGCCAACGGCCGACCGTGACACAAACTACTGAAACCACCAATGTGCCAAAAATCCCCCTTTAGGCTCTCGTAGGGCAAGTGACCTTGACTGAAAAAAACACACAGAACAAGCACTTTTGACAAAGCCACCCCGCTGAAACGTGATTTTGGAAAACCCAGCACGTGACACCCTGGCCTCATGGTTTGGGTATGAAGAAAGTCTCTGTTTCTCCCTGCCAGGACACGGATTTCAGGTGGAACAAGTCGGTGGCCCCAGCTGAGCCTTCACTGACCCCTTGGGAGCTCCCAAAGGTTTTGAGCTTCAAGCTGAGGGTGCTACAGAGAGTAAGTGGCACCCAGGTCCTGGGGTGGCAAAGAGAGGGTAACAGGGCAGAGACATCTCCCACTAGACCAGGCTGAGAGAGTTGGGGGGGGTCAGCCTGGAGAAGAGAAGGCTCCGGGGAGACCTCAGAGCCCCTTCCAGTCCCTCAAGGGGCTCCAGGAAAGCTGGGGAGGGACTCTGCATCAGGGAGGGGAGCCCTAGGAGGAGGGAGAAGGGTTTGACCCTGAAAGAGGGGAGATGGAGCTGAGATGTGGGGAAGAACTTGTTTGGTGGGAGGGTGGTGAGAGCCTGGCCCAGGTTTGCCCAGAGAAGCTGTGGCTGCCCCATCCCTGGAGGGGTTCAAGGGCAGGTTGGAGGGGGCTTGGAGCAACGTGGTGTGGTGGGAGGTGTCCCTGCCCAGGGCAGGGGGTGGCACTGGATGGTTGTTAAGGTCCCTTCCCACCCAAACCATTCTGTGATTCTATGACACAAGCAGGCCCTGAAGCTCTTAATAACCTGCTCTCCACGGGCTTTCCTGCAGTTTCACTCTGTTCCATTAAGTAAAACATTTCTTTCTAAATGGGGTAAAGCCCTAGTGAGGAGGTGGCAGTTATGGGGAGCAGGATGCACTCAGTTCCACCACCCGCACAGCCCTCTAAGTTCCAAATCTGATAGGTCCCAGATTTCCTGGGTTGGCTGCTCTGCCAGCAGAAAGCTGGCGAAGTTCATGAATCCAGCGTCCGTGTGCTCCGCAGGGGCTGGGCAGGTTACTCACGGGTGAAACTGTTCGCAGAAAAGCAATTAGGCAACTTGCCAGGCTCTTTGTTTGTTTCTTTACTCGCTTACTACCTTATCTGGCATTTTTAATTACATTATAAACTACCCAGTTAGTGAAGGGATTACAGTCAACACCTCGCTGTCAGCTGCCCGTTTGATTTACAACGTTCAGGGCAGTAGTGATGAAACGAGGTGCACAGACGTTACGGGGTGCACCCAAGGACATAGAGCAAGTCCCAAGAACAAGTGAGGACTGGGATCCATAAACACCAACCCCAAAGCTTTCCGCTAATCCGAGGGTGCCCCACACTCTGCAAAACCAGCCTCTGCTCACGCAGAAACACTTTAGGCTGAAGCAACCTCCCAGGAGCAGGCAAAGGCAGAGCCTTGCCTCGGAGAATCCTGTGGCTGACACACCTCTGAGGTAGAAGGAGAGGAAATGGTGCACCAGGAAGCTGCCATCTGTTCTGGTGTCTCGCAGCAGCGTGAATTTACCCTGAAAATAGAATGGAAAAATCATTAAAGAGAGGAAGATGAGGGCACAGACTGCTCCCGGTTCCATCTTGGTAGACGAGAGGTCTGGCTCAGGCTAGGGCAAACTCTGCAGGTCACCATCCTCACAGGTGGCTGGGAGTGATTTCCACCTCCTCTCCCCCAGTTCACAGCCATCTTCTGTCTGCCCCGAGTGGCACAGATGGCAGGGGGACCACAGCCACCCCCTCTGTGCCCAAGTCCCTTCTCCCACTGCCATGGCCACCCTTGCCTGGGCACTCAACATACCAGCCCCTGCTTCTCCTGTCCCCAAACGGCCCTCCCTGCCCCCTGTTCCTCAGAGCAGAAAACCTTATCATCTAAATTTGTTTACTGGAGCAGAGCTTTCTGCACCAAGTGTATATACCTTGTTTTGAACATGCAGGAAATTAATTCCATTCATCAGCGCAGGCTTGTTATCAGCACCAGCCTCATCAAGGTATTTGTTTCCCTTAAAACCTCAGTCAAGATGTTTCTTTAATCAATACAAATCATAGAAGGGCTGCTTTTAATCACAAAGAACTTATCAATGGTTGGTTGTTGGGGTTTCTTTTTTTCCAGTCTATTAGAAGAAAAGGCCTTTTGCAGCAACATGCAACCTACCCATAGGCAATTCACATACCATCTATCCGAGTCAAACTCCCCAGTGCCTAAAACTGGTATAAAGCAGTGTTAATGGAACAGCAAATATTGAACACAACGGCAAATATTGAACACATCTGCAGGGAATGCAAAGCAGAGGCCAGGGTGGAGAAGTGCTGCTCTGCCTCAGCCAGAGAGAGCTCTTTCCCACCCAAAAAATAAAGGTTTATGCCTCTGTGGCCGCTACAATAACAGGAGGCACCACCTCGGTGAAGACCTCACCGGGATGGACCCTCCTGGAGGAGTCTCTGGGTTCAAACAGCACAAGCTGCTACAATAACAGGAGGCACCACCCCAGTGAGGACCTCACCGGGATGTACCCTCCTGGAGGAGTCTCTGGGTTCAAACAGCACAAGCTCAAAGGTTTAATGGTGTAGATTCTACACGACTCCATCCCCTTCAACCCCCCTCTTTGCCACAGCAGGCCAAATGCCACCCCATGTCCCCTCTCTCGCCTGCCAGCTCTCGAAAGGTTCTCTCCTTCGCTCCCACACAGAACTCAGCAGGATCTTGTCGCTCGGAGCACACATTATTTCACTTCTCCAAACCTTCCAGTTATTCAATCCCTTAAATCCTGCCAAGCCTCACTTCGCTGTCAGGCTGCAGCAAGCGGCTGCTCAAAACTCTTTAATTTCTTCTTCAAAGACAGCAGGCAAAACTCTTCATTTCTGATGCTCAGGTGTCCAAGCTAGCCAGGGGTGGAAATGTCCAAACTGTGCAGCTCCAAAGCACAGCCGGTGGAAGAAAGAGGAAGGAAGGGAAGGAAGGAAGGGAAGGAAGGAAGGGAAGGAAGGAAGGGAAGGAAGGAAGGAAGGAAGGAAGGAAGGAAGGAAGGAAGGCAACAGCTCTGAGAAACTCCAGCTTCCCGCTTGTGGCCACAGAACTGCCCCAAAGCCTTTACCAGCTCCAGAACACAGCACAAAAAGCCAGGAATCAGGGTTCCCCGGGAATCTGTGAGGCTTCCCAAGGTCTGCAAACCGCTGAGGTCATGCTCTTTTCGGGCAGGTCCTCCTGTGCCCATCCCCACAGACTACACTTATCAATTTTTTTCACAGCTGGCTGGAAACAACCAGGTTCCTGGAGGTCCTGAGGGCCAGGGGCTTCTCCTTGCTGCCAGGCAAGAGGAATTCTCCTGCTGGGGAGTGGGTAGATCCCAGCCCCACCACCAGGACCTCGTTTGTTGGTGTGTGGACACCCCACAGCCCCTGAGCCACCACAGTTTGATTCTCTCCCCTCTTCTGCACATCCTTCTCAAGCTCAGAAGGACACTGCTGGGGATGAAGTGCTTCCAAAGGCAAGGCCTTCTTGGAGCACCTTCTCCATCCTCCTGCCCCATCCCGTTCCCTGCTTTCAGGCTCTTTCCACCTGCAGGCTACGAGGCAGAAGCTGCAGCTACTTGTTAGGAACTGCCAAAATGCCTTGGCAGGGCAGCAGCAGGTGTCACAAGCGCTCAGCGGTGACATGTCAGATACACCCACGCAGGCGGCAGCTCCATCCACCCACCAGCCCTGCACTGAAGGCATTTTTGTCAGCACTTTGAAAACGGCACAAGGCAACCACGGAGATGCAGCAATCAGGACAGCAGAGATAGGAAGAAGAGATTTGCAAAGGGCTGATGCTTTTTAAGCACAGCAGGATGACATTTTCCAGCCAGACTTGGCCAAATATCTCAGCACACCCCGTGTGGTGGCAGCTCCAAGTCCCTGGGTGATGGGAGAGGAAGAGCCAACCCAAATCCGAGGCAATTCCTTGCAGAGGAGTCTCTGGTTCAGCTCCTCTGTCAGGTCCTGCCTGGGCTGCCACAGCAAAACCCAGGATCCCGAGGCCAAATCTCCTGCAGAATTTGCTATCTGCATCGAGGTGAGACGCCTCATTCCCAAAACCAGTCTTGTGGATGGCAGCATCCCTGCTCATCCCTCAGCCCCACCATCAAACCCGCCTTGGAGCACAGGCTCTGCTCTGCCAAAACTCGATCTCCACCAAGGTCTCCTCCCTTCACATTTCATATCCCTTAAAACCCAGCCATCAACCCACAAGAACCCTGGGGACTGGGGAATTTACACAACCTCAGCTTATCAGAGAATCTCAGAATGGTTTGGGTGGGAAGGGACCTTAAAGACCACCCAGTGCCACCCCCTGCCCTGGGCAGGGACACCTCCCACCACACCACGTTGCTCCAAGCCCCCTCCAACCTGCCCTTGAACCCCTCCAGGGATGGGGCAGCCACAGCTTCTCTGGGGCAACCTGGGCCAGGATCTCACCACCCTCCCACCAAACAAGTTCTTCCCCACAGCTCAGCTCCATCTCCCCTCTTGCAGGGTCAAACCCTTCCCCCTCCTCCTCTGGCTCCCCTCCCTCATCCAGAGTCCCTCCCCAGCTTTCCTGGAGCCCCTTGAGGGACTGGAAGGGGCTCCAAGGTCTCCCCGGAGCCTTCTCTTCTCCAGGCTGAACCCCCCAACTCTCTCAGCCCCCCCTCCCAGCAGAGGGGCTCCAGCCCTCCCAGCATCTCCAGGGCCTCCTCTGGCCCCGCTCCAACAGCTCCATGTCCTTCTGCTGTTGGTGGCCCCAGAGCTGGAAGCAGCACTGGGGGGTGTCTCCCCAGAGCGGAGCAGAGGGGCAGAATCTCTCCCCTCACCCTGCTGGGGATGCAGCCCAGACTTACAAATAAATTACCACCCCAAATACGTTTGGTTGTTTTTTTTTTTAATCTAAGATAGTATCTATCAGGAAAAAACATCGAGTAATATGCAACACACACATATTTCATTACATTTTTACCTGGAGCGCTGCACGGCTCTTATAGAGGATGAGGATGTTTAGTTACACCGTGATTTCATTAGCACGAAAACTTCATGGATTAACCGAATTAACTTAGTCTTAGCCTAAAGGAAGGGAAACCTCTAGAACAACACCACAGGACCCGGAAGGGCGCTGGGGAGCGGGTTTCACCCCCAGTTTTGCCGTTATTCCCGACCCGGCAGCAACCCCGCGCAGTCACACCGGGACCCGAGGGCTGCGGGGACAGGCCCCGGCCCCTTCTTAGCGCTGGGTAGCCCGGACCGGGTAGAGGGACTGCCCAACAGGCCGTTAACCGGCCGGGGAGAGGCCTGCAGAGCGCCGCCATTCCGCGCTCCCGCCGCCTCAGGAGTCCCCGCCCTTCCCATCATGCAGCGCGGCCGCCGCCCGAACTACATCTCCCAGCAGGCCCCGCGCTCTCACCGCCACCGCCGCCATGGCGGCCCCGCTCCCTCCCTACGCCCCCCCTCTCTCTCACCGTCTCCGGTCGCTGCGGGGAGGCGCCCAGCAGCTCGTTCAGCTCGGCGAACATGGCGGGCGGACGGGCGAGCGCCACGGACGGACCGACGGACGGACGGAAGCGGGGCACTTCCGGGCGGGAAGGACCGCGCATGCGCGGAGCGCGGTCGGAGAGCGCCCCCTGCTGGGATGGGGGGGGGGACGAGGAGCCCGGGGAGTGGGGGGACATTGCCTCAGGCCGCAGCTCCCCTCGTGGACATGGAGGGGCCTCAGGAGCTTTCGGGGACGACCGGGCTCGGTCTGCCCCACCCGGTGAACCCCAGACATCTCCGGGAACGTCTTCACCGCCGCCCCGGGCAGCCCGGGACGCTGCAGTGCCGCACTCCCCCCTCAGGCAGCCCCGGGGGGCATGGAGGGGCTTCAGGAGCTTTCGGGGATGACCGGGCTCGGTCTGCCCCACCCGGTGATCCCCAGACATCTCCGGGAACGTCTTCACCGCCGCCCCGGGCAGCCCGGGACGCTGCAGTGCCGCACTCCCCCCTCAGGCAGCCCCGGGGGGGGGGTGATGAGCAGAGTCACCGGTCGCTTTCACCCTGGTGCCCACCAGGCTCTTCTCTGCTTGGGAGGGTTCAGCTGGGCAGCCCCCAGCCCCTCCCGGTGTTTTGGGTGCTGCAGGGCTTGGCCTCCCCCCCCGGTGGAGCTCCATGAGGGTCCTGTCAGCCCAGCTCACCCTCAGCAGCAGCACAGCCCTCCATCCCCACCTCCCGGTGTTTTGGGTGCTGCAGGGCTTGGCCTCCCCCCCCGGTGGAGCTCCATGAGGATCCTGTCAGCCCAGCTCACCCCCAGCCCCCTCAGCAGCAGCACAGCCCTCCATCCCCATGATTAATGAAGGTGTTAATGGGACTTAAGTCCCAGTAACCACCACCAGCTGGACCTCGTGGTGCTGGTCATTGATCCCTGGCCCAGAGGTGCCCCCCTTTTGCCATCTGCAGGCCCCTGGCTTCATATCATGGAATCATGGAATGGTTTGGGTTGGAAGGGGCATTAAAGACCACCCAGTGCTGGTTGAAAGGGACATTAAAAATCACCGAGTTCCAACCCCCCCTGCCCTGGGCAGGGACACCTCCCACCAGACCACGTTGCTCCAAGCCCCCTCCAACCTGGCCTTGAACCCCTCCAGGGATGGGGCAGCCACAGCTTCTCTGGCCAACCTGGGCCAGGCTCTCACCACCCTCACACCAAACAAGTTCTTCCTGAGATCTTTCCTAAATCTCCCCTCTTTCAGGGTCAAACCCTTCCCCCTCCTCCTAGGGCTCCCCTCCCTCATCCAGAGTCCCTCCCCAGCTTTCCTGGAGCCCCTTGAGGGACTGGAAGGGGCTCCAAGGTCTCCCCGGAGCCTTCTCTTCTCCAGAATGCACCTTCATTTGGCAGATACAATATACCACGGGACAGCGGGATGTTCAGGAGGGGTCCATTATTCCCTTAATAGTTCCTATTACGTTATTACCACATTTGATTGCTGCTGAGCATTAATTTGGCGCACTCAAAGGACGAGCCGCAGTAGTTCCCAGCTTGCAGCTGAGCAGCAACAGCAAATTCACAGCCTGTAACCACGAATATCCACATTATTTAGTGTTATTTTTTGCCCACGTGCCTGAATTTGCATTTTTTGAGAGAGGCAGCACTGAATTCACCTTTCCATTTCATAAGCTTTGATGACCTTTGATGTGTTTAAGAGTCGTTTAGATGCGGTGCTGGGGGATATGGTGTAGGGGAGAACTTTGAAGAGTAGGGTTGATGGTTGGACTCAATGATCCCAAGGGTCTTTTCCAACCTGAATGGTTCTGTGATTCCATGATTTTTCATAATGCAGATGAGGATTGCCCAGATTGAGGGGAGACACACATCGGAGCCCTGGATGTGCCGAGGGGCCTGGAGAGAAGATGCACCAGCCTTGCCCTGTCTCATCTGCTGCGAGCATTAGGGGGCATCAAACGATGCTAATAAACGGGAAGCACCGAGGAAAAGAGAGGAGACGCCGACGTGGGGGCTCTTCAGAACCACAAATTGTCACTGCTGGAGCTTTAGGAGGTTGAATCAATGGGAGAAGGGGGACAAATCTGGGGAAGAGAGGTCTTCTCCACCAGCTGGGGAAGTCCCTGAGCTGGGAATTACTGGGGTGTGGGAGGAGAGCTGTGGGAACACAGGAGGTGCTTGCCTTGGCCTTGGTGTTCCCTCTCCTTCTGGCTGGGACGACTGGTGTAGAAAAGACAGTGGTGGGCTGTATGGATGTTTGGTTGAACCATTGCAGCTGTTCTCTCTTTATTTCCTATGTTCATATGTGTATTATCTGTAAAATTTATCACCATCTTTTCCATCCCTTCTTAGGAAAACGCTGGATAAGCCAGGCCTCAGCCCAGACCCCAAGATATCCCGGCCGTAATCTCTCTTCGAGGCAGAAACCGATCATTTATGTCAGCTCTTTGCTTCCTGTCTTTTAACCAGTTGTTTAGCTGTGAAAAGACTTCCTCTCTTCCCCTTTGATGGCTTCTGTTTCTGAAAAAGCTCTAGCTGAAAGCTTCTTTAAAAGTCCCAAATCGCTTTGCTTTTGTTTTCTTACCCTTTCACAGAGCTGGGAACCTGGGTCTGGTCTCAGGGAGCCCAGTAACCGGCTCAGTCCCTGCTCTGTGTTGGTGCAGCCAGAGCCTTAATTCCTTCGCCGCCCTTTGAAATAGTCTGGCTCCTGGCCTCCTCCTTCACAGGGTTTGTCTGCAGAGCCCCATTCTGCGGTGCAGACGGCAGCAAAGGGAGTTCCCAGACGGAGAGGAACCTGGAGACGTTCCTACCTGGGAGCTCTCTTTAGGGCTGCATTTGTATTCTGGCGAATATGCCATTTTCAGACCACCTTTTGTCTGCGCTGTCGCGTTTCTCTCTCTCTCTGTAGCACTTTTCCTTCCAGCTCCTTCAGGAGCCGCAGAGCCCTACGCGCCTTGTAAATGAAATGTAAAAATCCTCTCTCTCTTCTTCTCTTCGCAGCGGGAAGGGGACCAAAACCGCATGCAAAGTACAGCTGCATCTCTCAAAACACCTCTTGTCCTTCTTAATATATTCCTCCTCACATTCCGTGACTTGTTACCGCGCGAAGGCAGTGAGAATTTCGCTGGTAAAAACTGTTGCCCCTTCCCTCCCATCTGCTTCATGCTTATTTGCGGTATTTACAATGCAGCAAACCTTGTCAGTGTTGCACAGTGGAGCCATATGGCATCCATAGGTAACAATGCCGCTTACAATTAAGCTCCTCTGCTATGTCAGAGCGGCGGGCAAAAAGTAATTCATGACCAAGAGTGAAAAAAAAACACAAAAAACCACAAGTGAACAAAGCAAAACAATTAATCTTGTGGCGCTTGAGGTAGTTCCCAAGAGCCTGGCAGGGAAGGTTAACTAAAAGCACTGGACTTCTTGATGGAGTGTGTGGAAAATGATTTTTAGGGAGAAGGCACTTAGATTTACCTCCTTTGGTTATCGGTTTCTGGTGGCAGAGATGCTGGTGTTACTTATAGCTGAGCTCCCCGGGATAGTCCCATCCCTTCGGGTTTTAATGCAGAAATGGAATTAGAGCCCAGCAAAAGGAGCGTTCCAGGGCAGGAGGGTTCCCTTGTCTTCACATAACTCCGCCGTTGCTGATATAATGCTAAATGCTTTAGTAATGCTTTGGGTCATAAAAGATTGTTGGTGCTTTGAGGCCAAGGGAGGTTAACGAGAGAGCAGATGTTGGGCTGAGTCAATGGCCGGCGAAGAAAAGGAACGGGCGAGTTGTCCCTTTAACTCAGCTTGTGTTCGGGGGGATAAATTCAGCCCCGTTCAATGCCCGGGCCTTGACATGGCAAAAAGCAGCTGGAGGGAATAATGGATGAGCTGAACCAGGTGCCAGATTTCTCTGAAGAAATGCAAGAGCCAGGCTTTGAAAAGAATTTATAAGCCAGAGGGTCCCTCCCTGTGACAGCCCCTGGCAGGAGGGAGCGTGGAGCCTGGGCTCTTCTCCGGGGGTGGCTGCTGCCATTGTCACTGTTACTCAGACGTGTCACCCTGCCCTAACCTCACCCCTCTGCCGTTAACAGCAGCTCTTTTCTATAGGAAAATTAAGGGAAAACTCATTTCTTTTTATCACGTTAGTAACACAGACATCTGACTTTTTTTTCTTTTTTTTTTCCCCAGCTTGTCTGTGCTTTGAAAACAGCAGCAAACACCAGAGCTGGTTACGTTCAGCTCCTGATATCACCCATCGCTGCCTGCCGTTGTGTTTGGACCCACTCTTCCCACTTTTGGCAAGCTCACAGATCTCCCCCGTGCCCGGCACAGGACCTTGCCATCTTCCTTGGGGACTGGCTCAGAAATGCAGAGGGTAAAATGACCAAGTAGTGACCTGTGGGGACGAGGAGGAGCGTTGGCTTCCATGTTCCCATCTCCTTTAGCTTGGCCACAGTTGGGAAAAATCACTGCTACGAAACCTGCAGGTATTTACAAAGCCTCCAGCTTGTCATTCCCTGAGGCTGCTGAGCGGGGAATCATGGAACAGTTGGGTTTGGGCTGCAGGGAGAAAGCGCCCGGGGAGGAGATGGGGAAAATAAATATGAATTTAGATGCCTGAGGATGCGGTAAAACAGCCGGGACACCTGAGCTGCCTTTCTATCTACAAAAGAAAAATACAGAACAGCATCAGTGCATGTGTCTCCCTCTTTTACCTTCTCCTTACACTGGTTGCATGAAGCCAGGAAACCAGTTATACCCTTCAGGGTGGG